TGGACTGCAACTCCCAGAAACTCCAGCCAGCACAGCTGGCGGTGAAGGCTTCTGGGAATTGCAGTCCAAGGACATCTGGGCTACCCAAGGTTGAGAACCACTGATCTAGACTAAACATGGGGTAGCTGTGACCTTTACAGCTATAAAAGGGGAAAAAATCCTGAAAATAGCCTGTAATGGAGGCATTGGGAGGTGTGTTTGGGAGTTTTACGTCAATGTGTTTAGCTTGGGATCCATATTGCCAGTAAAAATGGCTTTGGGTCTGCATGGATCCTACAAACCATGCTCTGCCCACTCTTGAGTAGGAGATGGCATTTCCTGCCTGTCCTGTGTATTCCAACAGGTGGCATTAAGCCTCCACCAGTTCCCTACACGCTGTTCTTGCCAAAACCACCCGCTTTTGCAGACTAATTAGACCCATTCAGAGATGGGTATAAAAGATAGCCAAGGAATCCAGAATTTGAACCGATTTGGTCCGTGCTAGACTTTTTTTCTTTTCTTTTAGAAAGGCTCAGCACAGATGCTCCAGCAGTGTTGAATGTCACCTTGGACTGACATGCTGGTACCTAGCAGAGAAATTTATTTTCATCATTGCCACGTATGCTACATTTATCCCCAGGATGAACTTGATATTTAAAGGTCTGTGGAGGTGCATTTTCCCACCTAAATCCTTCTTCCTCAAAGGAGAGAGAGCGAGAGAGAGAGAAAATCACAACACAACCTGGATTTTAAGAGAGTATTTCTTTTTCGCAGACCCAGCTTGAACTTTGTTCTGATCTATTAGACAATTTTCTCTTCTCCTTCACGTTAACTAAATGAGAACGAGATTGCTTTTGGCTGGCTATTCATATCTGGGATCATCCCTCGCCAAAAACAGGATTTTAGCTCCTTAGGAGAGTCTCCTACATTTTCAGCTTGTAGGGCTTGAGACTCAACTGAGTTAAGGTGCAGAGCAGCCTCCTGAAGTCCTGTCAGGGTCTTCATCATAAGGCCCAACGGCATCAATAGGGTTTCCTCTTCCGATGCATCTTTTGGCCAGCATCCTTTCTGGAAAGGTGGTCTCCCGCCGCCATTGAAGAGAGGGCGGCCGCCCACTTAAGAGCCCTCAATGCAGCTTATTGTGGTGCTCTGGCTCAAGGGTCTCGCTGGGAGCTGTCCCGAGTGCTGAAGTTTTTTTTGCTATCTCCATAACCACCCAGAACACAGCATCCCAAATCTTCCAAAGTTAAAGGCTGCCCTGATGGGAAAAGTTGGCAGAAATGAAAACCACCCCCAAAATGGCCTGGGCTGCCAGATGGGCAGTATATAAATCAAATAAATAAATGAAGAATGAAAATTCAGAACTTGCGCTGCATTTCCTGTCTTAGAAGTGCTATAGTCATCACCCTCGCATTGAAAGGAAGGAAGGGTGCAGAGAAAGAGGGTGCCCCGTTTTTTTATAAGAGGGCAACGAGGATTTCCTGAAAGCTCTGAAAACTTAAAAGTTTTGAAGGTCAGTGTGTGGTGTGTCTTTCTTACCAGAGAGCTTCCTTTGTCAAACCAGGGAGGAAATGCTACCCAAGATCCTTCATCCTGGAGTTCTTGGAAAGGGAAGTGAATGGGAAGAGTAAACCCTAGTGGGTTGTTTGAACCATTTCGCTCTCTTTCCCTGCGGCCTCTTGTGCTCTTTCGTGCTCTCCGGATTGCAGATGGTTAAAAGCCATCGAAGTGTCCATCGGTCAGAGCTGGCCATGGAACTGGAACCAAGGTAGCCTTTGCAGCACAAGGGAATGAGGCCACGTGCAGTTAAATTGTGCCTGTGATCATCCGCCCATGTGAACTGATTTTCTCTTCTGGAAGGAAACAAAACAAACAAAATGACCGAACAGTGAAATGATGAAAACGTTATTTTGCCCCAAACAGAAAGGAGTCAGACTCAGACGAGGTCAGTGAGGGAGGTCGCACAAAAAGGAGGAGGGCCAGCCGAAACGCAGGCGTCATTCTGGCCCGGTCGTTTTAAAGATGGAAAATGCCTTTTGTCTCTCAGTTTGTCTGTCTGTCTGTCTCTAGCTGCCTGCCTATAATATTTTTAACGTACTTGTTCCTTAAAAAGGAAGTTTATATAATTAAAAGTCAATATTAGAAGCTAAAAACAGTGAGTATATAAATACTAAAAAAAAATTCAAATATTACTTTGAGACAAAAGCAATACTAAAATTACATTCAAAGTGGTAACGCATAACGATCCATTTTAAAAAAATCCTCTTCAGACAGCCATTCACTCAGGGAAAGATTGCCAGAAGGGAAAGGTGGAAGGGACAGCACAGATGTCAGCTGCACCTCCAGTGGGAGGGAGTTCCACAGTTTGGGAGCAGCCAGAGAAGGTCCTCTCTCCTGTGTCCCCATCAGAGACACCTGTGAAGGTGGAGGGACACAGAGAAAGGCTTGTCCTGCTGATCTTAACACTCGAGCAGGCTCATAAAGGGAGACACAGTCCTTGAGATTGCTCGGATTCAAAGCCATTTAGGGCTTTATAAGTTAGAAGCAGCACTTTGAATTGTGCCCGGGAATGAATGGATCAGCAGCCCGTGGAACAGATGTAACAGCAGGGTTATGTGATCCCACTTTCCGGAGAGTGGATAAATGAAGAATCTCAACAGCAGCGAGATCTCCCCTCTTTTTCGAACGCCTGCTGGGCAGAAGAGGCAAAAACAGGTGCCTCGTCCTCATGGAAGCGATAAAGACTGTGTTTGGCCAAGATCTGAACTCTGCCACTTCGTTCTGCAGGTAGCGAGGGCTCCCAGTGAAAGAACAAGTGAGTTGTTCCTGCATGAAAATTTTTTTGCAAAAATAAAAGGTGCGAAATCCTCAAACATATCTGAGAGAGAATTTTTGCCAAATCGCTTCCCGATGTGTCGGTTCACAGATTGCAGGGAATTCCCCTCCTCTAATACTGGAGCATACAGTCCAGTGAGCCCTCATTTTTTCATGGGAATTTCCTCTCTCTAATACTGGAGCATGCAGTCCAGGGAGCCCTCATTTTTTCATGGGAATTTCCTCCATGCAAAGAAGGTCGGGATATTTTAATAATCATTATGTGTCAACAGGCTTATTGCAACGTAAATCAAGCCTTGCTAGGTTTCCTAGGTGGAAGTTACTCTGAAGTGGTTTTCCAGTCCTTTTTCTGGGCTGCCCTGGGAATTTGCAGCTTTTCTGAGGCTGCAAAGTCTGTTTCTTCCCCCAGGAAACACAGATGGCTTCGCAGGCAGGTGCTCCAACACACTGAGCTGTCCGGCCAGCACAGTCTCATTTTAGGAATGGAGTTCTGTTCACAGTTGCTGTAACTCCTTGGACTGGGGAGGGGTGTCAGTGCTGCCAGGTTACTCTTTATTCCTCTTAATTCCAGATGCGGTCTGAAGAAACCGCAGACCTGCTGGCTGAGAAAGCTCAGATCACGGAAGAAGAAGCGAAGCTCCTGGCTCAGAAAGCAGCCGAAGCAGAGCAGGAGATGCAGCGGATCAAGGCCACGGCGATCCGGACCGAGGAGGAAAAGCGGCTCATGGAGCAAAAAGTGCTGGAGGCCGAGATGCTGGCCTTGAAGATGGCAGAAGAATCCGAACGGAGGTAAGACGAAGAGCGCCGGACGCCGGCTTTTGCAGGCTTTGCCGTCTGAAAGATTTCTGGTCCGCTTTATATTCAGGAAGAGTTCCATCTCTTTCTAACCACAAAAATGCAAAAGCAGGCAATATCTTTATTAGAGCACTGGAAAAATCAAGTACAGGAGATCCATAGGGGATCAGTCCCAAGCTCCCCGCCCTGCGCGGACGCGCAAGTAGAGTATGCTGTGCATAGCAGGGTTTCTGATTCCCTCTAGTGGCTAGTTCTGGTAAATATACCATGGAAATTCGTATTTCTTGGGTTTTGTCAAGGATTTGGTGACAGGAAAACGCAGAGTTATTGAAGACACTTACAAGTTCTTCTTTTGCAAGACGGTTGTATTTACAAGTATTTACAAGTATTTACAGGCAGGCAGGAACTCTTTACACAAATGGACATAGTGGCTAGCAGCAAATGGTGAAGAGAGAAGAGAATGATACACAGACACTGTCCACTCTTATACGTATACATGGCATCTCTCGTCCAATCAGAAGACACATGACTTCATCTTCTGCACCTGGTGTCTTCTTATTTCCAGACATTGCATCATCTTCAGAGTGACTCAGCATACTCACATCTGTGCACAATGGCAGCTCGTTAATAATACATTTATTCAGGTTCAGGCCTACAAAATTTCTATATTCTGACAGGTTTTAAATTTAATATTCTCAGGCAGCGGCTAAGCGAATCTGTGGGTGATGATCCAGCAGATAAGTGGGTCCTACTGTTGATTGCAAGTTTTTGATGGTAACCTAGCCCATCTTCCTCAGGCAGTTTCAAAGGTTTCTGGTGTTTGAGCCCAGGTCCTTCTGTGTCCAAAGCTTGTGTGGCTCCCCTTGTGTAGTCCCCTGATCTGTTTTGATCCATACTGCCCTGCTTCATTTTATAGCACACCCTATCACTTGGTGTTTTTTTCTCTTTCAGAGGAAAATGGGAGAAAGAAAAGGTTAAAGACACAGTACTAAAGCCATGAGGTCTGTCATAGACATGGGGGAAATGTGTCTCCATTGACGGAGATGAATCCCACTGGCACAGGTGGCCGGCCCGATTCACACCCACCGCCAGAACCCGCTGATCCACTTCCTGTGTGACGCGTGTGGCTCACAGGGCCGGCATCTTCAACAGCATGTCACTCATGGCAGTAGCCCGGAGAGTATAGGGTCACCTCCTTCCTCGGCTGACCACTCCAGCAAGGGGGAAGGAGAAGGGGTTTCCCCAATCAGACACAGAGACAGGGCTGTCCCAGCTGGGCCACTGCTCCGATGGGCATGCTGTCGGTGACGCCAGCGCCATGAGCCACATGCCGCACAGGAAGTGGACCGGCAGGTTCTGGGGCTGGGTGTTATTTGGGCCGGACACCTGGGCCGGCAGGATTTGTCTTTGTCAACGAAGACAAATCCCCCATGTCTAGTCTGCAGCGAGTAGCATTCTGGAGGTGGGCGCGCAGGAGGTGTTGTGTAGCCTTATTTAGGATCGACTTTGCTTAATGCGAAACAACGGAGTGGCTAAAATGCCCACGGAAATCCATTAGCACCTCAAAAGCTGTGTAAGGTTTTCTTCATTTTCCCCCCAAGGTGCCATGACAGCCTCCAACCAAGGGGATTCCACTTTAAAACAGAGAGCAAGCCGAGAGCATGCCTTGTTCTGCAGCCAGTTAGCACTCCCGTGAGCCTCCAAGAAGAATTGATCGGTTTCGAAACAGGCAGACAGCTGTATTTAAAGTGGAAGTGGCTCATTCTCTCCTTCTTTTCCCCCCACCCAGCTGGCATGTGGTCTTTGGTGGGAAAAGCTCCAGAAGCTGCTCATCCTGGCACTCCAAAGAGGGCAATGATACCAGTCTTGGCCGCCCCTTCTCCACCCCCCCGGGCCCATCACTGTTGGGCACTCAAGACGACAGAGTTTGTGGCCTGCTTAGATGGCCCCGCTCCAGCCTGTCACCGTTTGGACAAACGCTCCCCAAGAGCCGCCCAGACACGCTTTTCGCTTCGGGCCGATCCTTCCTTTCTCAAGGAGGGTGTGCTGTCTTCTCCAAACCCTTCTGATTCCGTTAATTAAGTTTTGCGCCCCGAGACATTAAATGAAATTCATTAATTCTCCCTCTCGTGCCAATCTCTGGCTCCAGATCTCCCCCCGCCACCCCCTCCCGACTCATCACGAGGCTCCTGCTATATATGCCAGGCCTTTTATTTCTGCGATCCATTGGGCCTATGAGCGCCTCTGCCAAGGGCTCTTGTCATAAACTGCATTCATTAGCCTGTAAATTAACAATAGCGCTAATTTCATTCTGAATTCCATCCCCTTGTCTCTGGGTAAGTGTTTGGGCTTCCGTCGTTCTGCGTTGGATAACTTTCTCTTGTCTGCATTAGTTCTGCACTTTGCTTGCCAAAGTGGTTTACTTATTTTTTCTTCTTCTTCTTCTCCTTTTCTCCTACATTCCATCCTTGTCCCCACCACTTTCTACTCTGGACACCTCGGAAGAGCCCGTCAGGTCTGTGGGGTATGCAGTCACCCTTGGATCCTCCAGCACCCTAATTGAGTCCCGCATGTCTTTTCTTACATGTGTGGACCAAATGGCTCTATAATAGCTTTAGACTAGAAAGTAGGAACTAGATGCTTCTGTCATTCCTTGAACGTTCCATCCTTGTCCCCACCACTTTCTACTCTGGACACCTCGGAAGAGCCCGTCAGGTCTGTGGGGTATGCAGTCACCCTTGGATCCTCCAGCACCCTAATTGAGTCCCGCATGTCTTTTCTTACATGTGTGGACCAAATGGCTCTATAATAGCTTTAGACTAGAAAGTAGGAACTAGATGCTTCTGTCATTCCTTGAGACAAAAAAAAATATTCTTCAGACCTGGATAATAGTACGATATAGAACGAAATAAACCCTTCCTACCCTTATTTGTTTATTGCCTTCCTGTAAATTCCTTGGACCATGACTGGATGATGGTGGCACTGCCATTTCCAGCTGTTGGGGAAGAAGGCATGGAAAGGGTGGTGGCATGGGTAAAGTGTGGGTCTTTCTGAACCGCCACGCAGTTTCCTTGACTTCCCTTTTGTGTCTTTGCCGTCTGCAGGGCGAAAGAGGCCGATCAGCTCAAACAGGACCTGCAAGAAGCGCGGGAATCCGAGCGGCGCGCGAAGCAGAAACTTTTGGAAATCGCCAGCAAGTCGTCTTATACCGTAAGGAGACTCTGTCTGTCCTTCTGCATCCTGTTTCCCCCCCTGCCTGTTTGCAGACAGCTCCCTAGCGCTCAACCAGGCCATCTGTGCTCAGCCTTGGCATGTCTGCATCCAACTAGATTGTAAGAGAAGAGTGTGTATACCCAGCCGTTAGCATGTTCTCACAGAGAAGTTTCCTTGCACAGAGTTTCTTTCCTCAAGGCTTGCAAAATAACCTCTGTTTGCCTTCTGGTAATCAAACACAGCACACTCAGTTGTGAGGACTATCACATACTACAATAAACAGATCTCTTTCACCACTAGGAATAGTAGCGCCTCTGCTTAAGCTTGGGCTAAGCCTAGCATCTGCTTTGACTCTCTGCTCTTAAAGGTCCTGAACGTAAAACACTTGGAGGTCATGCAAACAGGGCAGGATGGGGTGGATTTGCGTGCCTTACACTGCCCTGCGTTATTGTTGCACACCTTATATGTTTTCAGGTAGGAGATGGAGGCACAGGAAATTTCTAATAGCTGTGCTAAATTAGACTCTGTTGTTTCATAAAGAATACGGGAACGCTCAAAGCTTTTATCAGAAAGCCTGCTCCATCTGTAAGTTCGAAAGGCTCCAAGCAAAATGTTTAAAAAAGCAAAATATTTTAGGGCTTCTGCATCAGCCTACGAATGTCCAAGTTACGCAGTGGAGATTGTAAAAACCTCCCTTAAAATATGGCGAGGGCTGTCGAGAGGAACACTCGTGTTTCTTCTTCATATTAAGGGTTCTTACAGGCCGGCCCTGCTGTGTGCTCTGAAAGGGCAATCAGTCTGTTTTAAGTGAGCGAAATTCAGGCATCTGTTCCTGGAGCTTTTAGCAGGTGGTTGACTCCCTAATCCTTTTATCACGTTCTTGGTAGCAGAAAATAATGAAACCTCCAATTAAACCAGAAAGCAATGGACTTTGAAAGAGGAACAAAACGCTGCGTGTTGTTAAGCGCTTTCCTAAAAGCAGCCTCGTTAACCCTCGCAGGTTGCCATTGTGGAGCAATGAGGAAACCTGGGGCTGCCGTGTCTGTCTGGTTCTGCTTAAAGCATTCATCGTTCCAAATCTTGGAATGGGAACATGGAAGGGATCTCTGTCCCAAAAGGCTTCATAGTCAGAAGGCCAGGGAGAAGCAAAAGGAAAAGGAGGACGGAGAAATAAGGCCAAGTTGTAGTTTAGCTGGTGAATTAATTTCATTTTTGGGGAATGGTGAGATTCCTGATACGAAAGCGGGGAAGAGTCTCCCACGTGTCTCTGTTTTCCCTTGGCCTAAGCGTTGGCCCAAGGCCGCAACGCCTTTCATCGGGTGGAACCCTTTGTTTTTTGCTGCAGCGGGCAAACTGATCTGTGCCTGCCTCAACTTTTCCTAAGATGGAAGAGCTGAAGGAGGGAGAGAGGGGAGAAGGAATATTGATATGGGGATTTTGTGCACGAGGTCCAGAGGCGGCTTGCTTGGGCTCCCTGCTCCAGACTGGCCTGTGCTTAGAAAACAGGCGCTACCGTAGGTTCACAGTATCCATGAGGATTGGTTCCAAGCCCTCCCCCCGGGTAACACAGAGATGCCAAGAAAGAGTGGATAAACGAAGCCGTTTCTTGTGTGTCTGTGCATGGTTGAGTGGGTTTATTGCCCTCCGGTTGGCAAGGGAGGCTTCCTTGAAACCAGCAACTAGAAGGCTCAGCCTTGCCAAAAGAGTGGGTTTATTGCCCTCCGGTTGGCGAGGGAGGCTTCCTTGAAACCAGCAACTGCGTCTGACGCCTGCTCGGCTAAGCCCTTTGGTTAAGAAGTCGCCGTAAGGCTTTCTTGACATGAACCAGCCGGGTGATTTGGTATCCGGCGGCAAATGCCAATTCTAGCATCTTAACTTGCGGCGAGTCACTGCTGAAATCTACGCCAAGGTGTTGTGTGTGTTCTATGCCATCAAGTTGGAACTGATTTACAGTATTCCAATAGGGCTCTCAAGATCAGTGAAATATTGAGGGAGTGGTTTTACCAGTTCCACTCCCCCGGCGAATTTCCGTGGCTGAGCGGGGATTTGAACCCAGGTCTCCAGAGTCCCAGCCCGTCACTCTATCCAGTACACCACACTGGGATTCCCACACCAATGGAATTATGCCAGCGTAAATCTTGCATTGGATTCTAGAGAAATGGGCCTTCCTCGTCCGACTCTTCTCTCTGTGTGTCTCTCTGTTAAGCGAAGCTTTGGGAAAAGTCTCCCCCACCCCACACACAAGCACACCTTTTCCTCCTTGAGATTGCGTGGTTAGCTCCTTGGGCCAGGGAGAGGGGCGTAAAAGCTGTGTTGTGCTCTCACCAAGAAACACTGTAAACAGGGTCCTTTTACAGCTGCCTTGGCCGTTTGTCTTCAGCCCTGCATCACCCCGAGTGAAATGTTTAAACAAGCAGAACAAAGGTGGCTTGAATGGACTGGCTTTTTCCTCTGGATTCTCCGAGGGCGTCTGCAAATGTTCGGAAGCTTTTAAAAGCAACCGACTGTCGTGCCAAAATGAGCTTGTGCTGTTTCTCGCCGGAGGCTCCTTCGGCTCAACAGCGGTGGCTCATGGGCTTTCTCAGAGCAAGCCTCGCAGGCTTGTCTTTTTCCGTTCCAGGTGGCCGGATCTAAACAGGCCTTGTGCTTGGAACGAGGTGGCCTGATCAGCTTTCATAGGGTCCTCGATCAACTTTCCTGATGGCTTCTCTTAGGGTTTTTGCTGTCATTTCATAGAAGTGGCCATTTGGAGAAAAATGTCCTCTGCTATGAAAGGAGGACTGAAGTGCATGGATGCTCAAGGACCCTCAGAAATGTTGCTGAAGTCTGCCTAATGATGCTAGCAAAGACAGTATTTTTAACCAGTTTGTGGCCTGGCTCCACTCTTAGGCCTTTTACTTATCTCTTTGATTCTTCCCAACCCTCCATAGTACATGAGAGCTAGTGCCTGTATGTCTATAAGCTAAAGATGGAGCAAAGGATTCATTTGTTTGCATCTCGTTTCTACCACGATCTTTTTCCTCATTGCCTTAGGAGTGCATGTCCTGGATCTTTCCTCATCTGTCGTAAAGGGATAAAGCTAGTCTTGCATTACAGATGAGTGGCAAAGATTACAAAGATAAGGCATGTGCAGTGCTTTGTACACTATCAATGGAATGTAAAAACATAAAGGGTTTGGGTCGTTGTGGGTTTTTCAGGCTCTTTGGCCGTGTTCTAAAGGTTGTTCTTCCTGATGTTTCGCCAGTCTCTGTGGCCGGCTGTGGATACACAACAGCACAAACCTCTGTGCTGTTTGTTGGATATAGTCTCTGTATCCAACAAACAGCAACAGAGCACGGACGGAGTTCCTGCTCCAGTCCTCTGACGATGCCGGCCGCAGAAACTGGCGAAACGTCATTTAATCCTTTTTTGCTTTTTGTGAGAATTCAGACTTGATTTGACGAAGCATCTGTTTGCTTTTCTAGTGGCCCAGGGTGTTTGCTAAGCTGTCCTCCAGCATCATACTGCAAATAAAGCAGTTTTTGCATCGTCAGCTTTCTTTGCGGTCCACCTTCCATATCCCGCCGTAGTAATTATGAACGCCATTGTCTAAAGTGTAAGTTTGACTGCGCTCTGCTCGACAGATCAGGCCTCCTCCTCATGCAGGCTCCCCCTGTTCTCACAGAGGGCTAATCAGCAGGCATTGCAAGGGCGTTTTTGCCCCTGCAACCAAAGTGTAATTAGGAGGAAGATTGTAGGACAGCCGTTCCTCTCCACCCCTCCAGCTGCATCCTCACGGAAAAGTTCCACCCCGGCACAGACAGCCTGCTGCTGCTTGGGCTCTCTTAAAGGGGCCGGTCACCGTTTCCTTCCTTAGGGTTTTGTTTTTTCCATGCCTAGTTGACGTGGTTCAGAAATCTATCTCTGCCACAGTTGCCATTTTCGTAGTTACCAGCCGTGGATTTGTGCATCGTCAATGACGGGTGGCCTGGATCACTCCTGCGCTCCTTTCCGGTTCAACTACGATGCAGTTCAGTCGTTCGCAGGCAGAAAGTACGCATGGCCCTCTTCTTGTTCATTTGCTGCCTAGAGTCAATTTACTTATTTGATAAAGTAAATTTGCTTATTAATGGGTGAGCTGGTCTTGCTGCTTGCAGCAGAAGGTTAGAGAGCCTCTCGGCAAACATAGCCGTCTTGCCTTCCCCCTTGTATGCCAGCCCGAGAGGAGGAAATCCAAATATCCATCACGTGGAAACACCTTTGTGCCCCACCTTGTAAGTTTTCTCCTGAAACCCCCTCCCCCCCCCGGGTGGCAACTGCAGGGTTTGCTCATTATGGATATTGTGGCGATGGGTGGGTGGGTGAGTCACAAGTGCTCTGTAGGGCCTGCCTTCATAGATCAGTGCGGCCATACTGGAAACGCTCACCTCTGCACCAAAGCAACTCCCTGGAAGATATCGGTATGTGCTCTTGGAATAAATTTCCTATTAATCAGGCAAAGTATTTGCTGCATTTATAGCCCTCCTTTCCTCCATGGAGCACAAAACCATCAATGTGACTCTCTTCCTTCTGCTTTATCTTCGCAACGAACTTGTGTATTCACTATTATAAGTGAAGCGGCGAGAAGGGGCGAGGCTTGTCCTTGGTCACCAAGTGAGCTTTTGAGAGTCACTGGGGATTAGAGTCAGCATCTTTCATATCTTGGCCCAGTACTCCAGTCCCTTGGGACTTCATTCATTATACAGTAGAACCCCTGCATCTGCGGGGAACCCATTCCAAATATGGATGCTGGAAAATGTGGATTATAGCAAACACTATTATACATATCATGGTCTCTGTCTCCCTCTAGCAGCCAGTTCTGGTAACTTCATTCTTAGAAATTGGTATTTCTAGGATTTTCCATTTAATAGTTTTAATATTTTTCGGTCTTTGAATAAGTCAATCAGCAGATACAGATCCCACAAATATCAGGTTCCTATTGTGGTGCAGTTTTAACTCTGCAACACAGAGATTGAAAAGGGACATTTAACATTTGGTGCTTCAGTGTTGCACTTCAGAGCTTCCCTTTGCTTTCCCCCTTTGCCTTCCAGGCAGGACCTGAGGAGCCATCCAGAAATTCAGGACCACGAGTCCCATCAGCCCTAGCCAGCAACTGCAAAGCCTGGGGAATCAGTCCAAATTATTTAGAAATAGCAGCTTTCCTGCTCCAGACCTGATGATGCTCAGTGGTGGTTTTCTGAACCCCTTCGTAATGAATTGTGGGATCCACTCCTTCTGTGGCATCATCTCCACGTTGGTGGAGAAGATTTCCAGAAGAATGGTCAACTCTGCTGTGGTGATGGTTTTGTCGTGGAGGGACCGCTTACGCCTTCTTTCTGCTTCCGAACAAACGTCACAGCCCTCGACTTGTGAAATGGGAAGGGATGAAATCTGGAAGCTGGCAGGTTGGATCATCCATCCAACCTTATTTTTCCCCCTCTTCTGCCTGCCTCCGCTGTTTAGCTCTCAATGTGCTGGGCAGAATGTGTTTGTGTACAAAAGTAGCCCCAGAAGATTCAAGCAAGTTTGCTCAGGCAGTAAAAAAGCAAGCAAACAAACAAAAAAACCTGTCAGAATGACAGATTAAGACCCGACACCACTGGCAAAGTCTTGGGATTCTTTCCCATCCTCAGGCATACAAACAGAATCTGAAAGGAAGAGGGGGACAAAATTGACGCTCATGTTGCAGAAACTCTGCCGAGGGTAACTTCTGTGCAGCGTGCGAATCTTGATCCGAGTTCTGGCAGTCATTAATGACCCAAAGGAAAGCCTCAGGAATATTCGTATTTCCCATATTTAGAGAAACCTAGCAAACCGTCGTGTTTCTTTCACATGAGTCTCCACCCAGACTCCTTAGCTATGAGGAATTGCTGGGTAGCTTCCGCGATTGAGGTCTCTCTCTGCAGAGATAGAGGTTGAGAGTTCGATTCCTCCACGGGGGCTCCTTGGCGGAAGCTGGAGTCGAGTCCCTTCCAACTCGGTGGTTCTAAGATTTGACCCATGAAGCGAGGAAACAGACCCAGATCAGAATCCAGATGTGGCCAAGAAACAGATGGGAGGAGAGGGAGGGAAGGTGACACGAGCGTCGCATATTGCTGCCTCCAGCTGCCATTTTGAAACCCTCCCAGTGGATCGACACGGGTCTGTCTTTCCTCCTGAAAGCTTTTCTGTCCCACATCTGGGTCGGTTGCTGGGATGTGAGCAAATCTTTGAGTCCCTATTGAAAGCAAGCTTTTCCCCCAGAAAAAGGGAGAGGTGGGTGGGTTCCAAGTTGAGTCGGAGTCATGGGGGAACCCCCCCCCCCACAAAAAAAGCAAGTCAAGGCCAAATTAAGTCGCCGGTGGGACTGAAGTCCGACTGGATGGCGAGTCCCACGACTCAAGTCTCTAACCCAAAAGGTTGCATGCCCAGAACTGCAGATACCCCCCCACTCTGAATCGAATGAGGCCATTCATCAGCTCCTGCTTTGCCCCCACAAGAGACGAACCTTAGGATTAGATTCCTCAAGAATCCCGCCTGCCCTCCCATTGAGTTGTCGTCATAGTGGGTTTTAGTAACATCTGCACTTTGGGTGACACTCATTCTCCTGGTCATGCTTTGAAAGCCAAGGTAGGAACGTGTTCCACCCCAAGGGTGGGCGCGGCCAAGGCAAAGGGTGGGGCTTAAGGTGCCGACATCCTTTAGCTTAGACATTCTTTCTGCCAGTAACTAAGTCCTGGAAGCAGCATGCTAACTTTAGGAGAAACCCAGTAGGAAAACTGGTCAGCCACAAAAAGATGATAACTGATGGGGAATCCTACAGAGTCAAGAGGTGTCTCCCAGGAGGGCCAGATTCAGCCCCTGCACCTGAGGTTATCCGCCCCTGTTGTTCTAAAGGGATGCTTTTACTTGCCAGCGTATTTGGGAGAGTCGTATTTAGACGGCCAAGACAGCCTTAAGGTCACGTATGGTCTGGCACACACAACAGGCAACGTGATGGGGGCAGCCCTTAGCCTCCTACGTAGGTTGTTGGCTTCTTATGTCTGTGGTGTACCTACAATAGGACCCCCTTGTCCGCAGGATCAGTGTCTACTGATCCACTTACCCACGGTGGGAAAATACAAAAAGCAAAATCCTAGAAATATATATTTCTAAAGACGATGTTCCCTGAACTGGCCATTTGGAGTGAGCCAGAGAAAATGCTATGTGTAGCGTTTGCTATCATTCCTGTTTTCCGGTATCTACAGGGACCGCAATTGCGATACAAGGACATCTGCATTCCCCTGAACGGGCCATTGGAGGGAGCCAGAAAAAAATGCTATGTGTAGTGTTTGCTTTCATTCATGTTTTCTGGTATCCACAGGGAGA